TTTTTTGCTTTTTTAATTAATTCTTGTTGGGGTGTACGTGACGAAGAGATGATGAGTCAATAGTATAGATGACATGGAAGTTGCCAAGGATGCCACCTACAAGAGAGGGAGCGGGCCCTTTTGATGGCACCCATTTCATGTATGAGAAGCTATGTGCCACGGGCTGTCTCACTCTGTCCAGCAATGATAGTCAGCGGCAAATTCCTCAATAAAGTTTGAAAGTGTAAATTTTCCAACCACGCCAACAGAGCTGGGTAGCAATGACAGCTTTAAAAATCAATAATGATTACACAACTACCAAAAATAATGAAAAAGAGATGTATATTGTTGTAGAAGTAGTAAGGATAAAAGATATATAAGGATCAAAGATTATAACTTGAGAAACACATTTATACATAGTATATGGTAGTATAATAGTAAAAACAATGAATGTGCCTTCTACTATCCTTGACAAATACTCCTACCTTATAACGAGCAACCCTCATGTTGTAGGTGAAAAGCACAATGATTTCCTTCAAGCTTTCTCGAGAACAAAAGGAATAAACTTGAAAGTAGTGATGGGAAAAGGAAGGATAACCATTGTGGGGACTTTTGAATGGAGGGCTTGATCTTGTTCTTAATGCTAACCTCTCAGCTTGATCTTTTGATGCTCAAGAAAAATATCCTAGAAACTGAAACTATAGGATGTTATCTCCCAACCATAATGTTTTGCAAGTCTAGAAAGTATTATCCAGTGCTAGAAGTGCAGAAAATATAATAAAAATGGTGATTTTTGGGTATTTTTGGTGTATATAAGGAAAGGATGAAGATGAAGGATATTTTTAGAGGAAAAATATAGGTTTGGTATGTGAGAAAGAAAGCTAGTCCTATGAAACCAATTGAAATCTGTTGAAAAATGAAGGAAAACTAATATATATGTAATGGTATTTTTGTAATTTTTAGGTTGATGAGCTAGGGTGGCCCAACAGCCCATTGGTTGAATTTGGCTTAAGAGAGGACAACTGTTGAGTTTTGAGTGATTTTAAGTACTACTGATAGCTTTTTAAAAAGTGATATCATGAATTATCTATTGGTTTCAATGAAGTACCGTTGGTTCCAGTGAAGTACCATTGGTTCTAGCGAAGTACTGTTAGTTTGTTGAAGACTGCCCATTTCTGGTAATTCTTCCAGCCATACAAAATTCCATTTTTTGGGGGGTATTTGAGTACAATTGACAAAAATTAGATCTGCCTAGGATTTTGGTAGATTTCCCTTGTAAAAATGTAATCTTTGTCAACAGTTTTCAATGTAATGGAACTTGTGTAGCCACCCTTTTTAACAATTTTCAGTACAATGGAACTTGTGCAACCACCTTTGCATTAAATACAGCTACAAGTTGCTGATGAAGTCTTAAACAACATCTCTGGTTGGTTTCTAACAAGATTCGAGGATTCTAGTTGGCATCAAACGATACGGTTTTAGGATCAAGCTTAGCCTCCAAGTCTTCACCACCCAACCTTTTATGGTGAAGTTGGGCAACATCACTAGCTCCAAGCTTGGCTGGTGTGAATACCTTGCTTCACCAAACAGGCAATGCTTATCCATCCATGTTTGCCAAGCCATTACTCCCATAGTTTATCTCAAATAATCCCCATGAGCTTGGATTCATGGGTTTATTGATGACTTACATGTAGAAATAATAATCAGTTGATATAAATGATGAAATTAATAATAAGGAAATAATAAAGGAACGAGACTTCCTTATGCATGTCTGGCGATGCAGCCATGTACTGTAGCATTAGATATTGTTGGGCATTTTGGTAAATGCATGTTGAAGGTGTTAAGGGCGCTTAGATTGAGGTGGGTCTTGATGACGTGGAAATTAGCTGAGTCTGAGTTTAACCTTTTTACAAAAACATTCAAGAACATTAGTCCCCCAAGCGTGGATAGTTGTGACAACAAGTCTTCACGCTTATTGTTGATGTCGATGAATGTGCCTAGACTTTACCAAATATTGGATGAGTTTGATACTGTCAAGCAATATCTTTATTATGTGACAAGTTGAAGAGATATGGCTATACTTTCACCAAACTTGGGAGATTGACTTTGCTAGAGAATAGGCCCATCCTTATGTTGCAAGGATGATGATGATAATAATAATAAGAGTGATTACTTGTAAAGCTCTCTCTTAGCAGCTTGGTTGAGCTTGTAAAGAATTTTCCTCCATTAGGGAATGAAACCATTGAGCATTGTTCAGAGCCATGTTACTGTAGATAGTTGCATGTCTAGCTTGGTTGAGTCAAAGCCAAAATAGGTATCACTAGTTAAGAGATGATAAGCCTTCCAACAATAACAAAAGTAGCATATTGTTTGCTCACTTTATGTCTTCATGGTTGGAAAATACTAGTTGTTATGCATGAGCTTCATCATAAAAATTTTAATAAAAATGAGCTTATGAGAAGCTTAACACTTAGGAATACTTGTCAACCCAAATTTAGGGAAAGTAGCATTTTGTTGAAAATTAAGCAGGTAGTTGAAGTTGAAACGCTGGGGATGAACATTCATCAACTTCGCTAGAAAGTAATATTGGCAATATAATCCTCTAGCCATGTGAATTTTTTTGAATTGCCCATGTACATGCTCGTTAAGCAAGTATTTGCAACTCTTCATCTTCTCTTGTAACTTGACATTGAGAAGTTGTCTAACGAAGGTAAATAGCCTACATAGTGATGGAGACATGGCAATAAGCTGCAAGTTGTTGAATTCGTAGCAGGTTGCTCCATCCAAGTGAAATACGATGATGCGAAGTAAAGTGATAACCCTCTATCAGAGCTATGTGAGAACCAGTAATGTAGAGTAAAGGTAAAGGCTCTCAAAAGCCTTGTTGTTACTGAAGGTTAGGATCGCTGAGCCCTTCTTTTGCCAAAGATGATAAAAAGATGATAAAGATGAAATAAGCATACATATGTTCATGTACTCATAATGGACCTAATATGATGGGAATCATGATGACCCCACAGGTACCACATCAAGAGATCCATTACATATTTCAAGAGGTCCAGTCACAAGAGCTAGAGCTAAGAAGATGCGAGAAGCTGTAAATGGCCTTATTGAGCAGATCTGGGTTGATAACAACATACAACAAGCA